GGAACAAGAGTCGCTGATGAGGCTGAAGACAATGGAATATTTAGCAACTTCTACAATCACGTTGACGTCACTGGCACAGCTCCTCGGGAAAATCAGCAACATGGTGATCAATGATCACATTCAGCAACAAATCGAGCAGGCCCTGGGTTCCATTCATCAGGTATCGCAATCTACTTGAATGAGAGAACTTGAACTTTGACAACTTTTTTAAAATTTATAGATTATGTCGACCTAGATAAAAAAAGGTTCTAGAGCAGAGAAAGAATCTGATATGCTAAGTCCTGGACTGAATTGGAATTGACCCAGTTCCGTACGTTTTTCAGTCTACAACAGCTCTTCAAGAGGGAAACGTGACTGCAGCAGTCTTTGCAGCCAAAAGTGCTATTAGATCTTCAGGTTAGTACATTTTCCGAAACGTCCTTAGTTTCTTTTCTCTTAAATCGTTCGTGGAAAGTTCCACGAGATATCCTTAGCTGTTCACTTTATTTCCCTGTAATCAATATATTTCGTTGTTCCTGATCGTTACATCATGCTTTCTCTTTCAGAGGAAGCATTTTTTGAACCATCAATACTGGAGCTGTTGTACTTTCCAGACGATCAGAAGTAAGCCTGACCTTTCAACAATTTGTCACTAGTATGTTATGTTAGGGAGATCGCCTTGTGCGGTATGGGAATCTATTACTGCTTAAGTAACATTCTAGACGTATTTTCACAGTTGTTCAATTTTCCTTACGATTTCGATAGACTCAGTCAGAGATTTGAAGTCGGAGAATGAAAAGAAAAGAAATGAAGAAAAAATTGTCAGGACTAATCAACAGAGGACATCACATTTAACTTTGAAAATCATCTTTTAGGCCTGGGGAGAGGGGTTTTGATGGAGCACGGTGATTTAAAGAATGGGGAGGGGGCTGCTTTTTCATTGAGCTGTATTCTATAAATAGTCTGTTTTGTAATTTTCCCTCAGGTACGCCATATATATTCCGCTGTTTCTACCCATCAGTCTACCTATTTTCCTGTCGTTGAGGCAGGCAGTGAAATGGTACAGAGGACAAGACAATGAAGACAAGAAAGACGAAGACAAGGATAAGCAAGATTGAAAACAGCTCTGAACTAAAAGAATAACGAAGATGACGGGCTGGGACGAGATAACGTGGAGTCGTGTCAACTGAGTACATGCGCAGTCTCATTTAATGAGAGGGAGCTACAGGAAAACATTTCACAACGACATAATTTTGACAATCAAATAATTCAGAGATACGAGTTATCAGTGAGGACTTTAGGGAAAAACATGCTGGTTAGAATATGTCACC